ATTGATTTTGTACAATTTCCATAACTAAAATAAGTCACAATGTGCCAATTTAATTCAAGTTATGGTTTATCGAGTTTTCGTTTGCGTTTGGTCTTTTTAGAGTTAAAATCAGAAAATTGAGGCTGACACTGCCGTTGGAGAATTTCATTTGAGATTTAGAGACACTTTCAAGATCAATTGAGAAGCAGAGAAGATATACGACACTTGAAGAACATGAATTTGAAAAAGAAAGAATTCAAGTACCAAACACGGGACCAAATGCGAACTCAAGGATAAAAAAAACAGGGGGAAACGCCACCAAAGACGTGTGCTATGATCTGCAACTAGAATTGTTGGACGAAATGTGCGCACGCTGCTCTCAAACAGGTGCGCACGGACATGCCCGTGATGATTGCACATCGTGTGCAGCTCAATTATGCTCATTTTTCTCTTTTCCCTATTAAGAAAGTCTATAAACCCTTATTTTAGCCGAGACAGAGTTTAGAAACAAAGCCTAAAACGAGGTTTTCATTGTTTTCAATATTGGATTTTCATTGTGGAGGCCGTTTGATAACATTGTTTTTCGGCTTATCAGCCAACTTTTTCACCAAACACGTAACTTTTGCTTTCGCGCGCTGAATTGTGTAATAAGCAGAAAAAGTAAGGTTAAAGTTACTTTTCTGGTTGTACTGGTTGTATTGGCTGTATTGGGGGAAAAGGTACATAACTACATATATACCCCTGTAATATAGGTGGAGGAACAAATATACCTCTGTTCTATTTTCCGGAACAAATATACCCCTGAACTTTTAAAAAGGTGCAAAAATATCCCTCATTCTTTATAAAGGAGAAAATTAATCCTTATTGACTTTAAATTTATAAAATAAATTTCAAAAAAGACCAAAAATAAGTTTATAAATCAAAATTAAAAAAAAAATAAAAAAAATGTACTTGTTTCCATTTCTCCCTTTATTGTTTTTATATCACAATTTAATATTTTTAGTATAAAATATTATTTCAAAATATGTAATTTTATAGTGCAAAGAGTGAAAAAAATTAATTTTTCTCTATATTGCAAAAAATATGTTAGCACCTTTTCGAAAGAATCTTAAACATATAATAAAATTTTGAAATAATATTTCATACTTAAACACTATCAAATTGTAATATAAAAACTATAAAAGGGAGAATTGGACACTATTACATTTTTTATTTTTTTTGTTTTTAAATTTCGAATTTATAATTTATATTTGGTGCTTTTTGAAATTTATTTTATTAATTTAAAGTCAATAAGGATTAAGTTGCCCCTTTATAAGAACATGAGGGATATTTTTGCACTTTTTTTAAAGTTCAGGGGTATATTTTTTCTCTAAAATAGAACAGGGATATATCTATTCCAACACCCATACTACAGGGGTATATTTGTACTTTATCCCTTTTTACATAAAAATTTTCTTCATTTTATTAATAATATATATTTTAAAAATAATTTTTTCTTAAATCAGCAGAATCAGCTAATGCAGCCACTTCAGCCAGAACTTCATAAATTTCAGCACAATAAACCAAAACAGCCGATTTTGATGCTACCAAACAGGCTCGTGATGATGTAATTTTCGTGGGAGATGTAAGTTGGGTAATGGGGACTATGCTTATGTACAAAAATAGTTGGGTAAGTATGGGGCAGACTTTTACAAAGGTGAATTGTATTCGGTATTATAAAGTGGGTTTTTTCTTATTTTACGGGAGAGGTCAACATGAAATCCATAATAATGGGAGGTTTTTAAAGGTTTCTAGAATAACTATAATCGGAAAGAGAGATTTCGGGTGAATGGGGGAGGGCCCGGAGGGGGGTATTTTGTTTGACTCATTCGGAAGCCTCATTTCCGGATTTCCGGTTGAGGGACAGGGTACAGGGTAGTTTGTAAAAAAAGGATGACCACTGACACTCCATCCCTGAGGGGCCCCCATCACCGACCGGACAGCACGATGGGAGAATGTAAGTTTTGGACTATAATTACAACCTGACAGATAGAGAGTGGGGCTCCGTCCCCAGTACTTACAGAGACCCTATGCATTTTTCAGCATAGTAACTTCTTAGGGCAGTTGCCGGGATTCGAACCCGAGATCTAACCCTTGTGGCACTCTCTCGCTAGCAGTTGAGCTACGCCCACCGGTACAGGGTAGTTTGTAAGGCAGGTAGGGTGGGGGGTAGATAAAAAAATCTCGTTTTTCTTTGAAGTGATGTAACTTTTTTATTTGTATTCTAACTCTTACAAAAATATACCACACTAACAATTTGTTATGATGAAGAACGATATTAATAGGAATTTCAAGCTTCTCTCTAGGGCTTCGGCCGCTTTGAGTCTTTTTCCGTCTTCGATTTTAATCGAAGGACGACCGCTTTTTCCGTCTTCGATTTTAATCGAAGGACGGCCGTTATTTCCGTTTTCGATTTTAATCGAAGGACGGTTGTTGTTGTTTGTGCTTCGTCCTCGAAGGGCGGATTTGCTGTCATGGCTCGAGATGATCGGCGTTGTGGTCAAGGTTCGAGGATGATGCGTTGTTGTCGTCGTTGGAGAAGATCGGCGCCGCCTATCCGTTTACTCTGGTTGCATGGGACAGGGATGAGTTTGGTTATGCAGGGACGGAGGATTGATGCATGGCCTTTGGCAGCCAAAGGTCACGGAGTATCAATTAGCATGGTACCGGTGGTAAGACCTCCTCCTGAACCACCACCATGGGATGTACGAGGTGCTAGAGTTCGTGAACGCTTTTCTTGTAGTTTTTATCTGTTTGTTATTTATTTTCTTGTGTCCACTTTTGTTGTTGGTTTTGACAGTTTGTTTGAGTTTTTTGCGTCTCTTTATGTCATTGGGTATGGTTGGATCTATGGGAATAGGTTTGGCTGTGTCAAACCCACTACATGGTTAGCGATTCGTGTTGCTCTCTCAGGGGTGACCGTCTCAAAGTCTCACCATAGGGTTACAGTCGTAGTTGTTGAAGTTTTAGTTGGTGTCAGTTTTATTTTCCTTTTGCTTGATGTAATGATCCTGAATCTTTTGATATGAATAGAGGCCCGTTTGATGATAAAAAAAACAATTTGTTATGATCTTTCATATAGCACCAATTCAATAATCCGTATGTAATGTTTTAGAAAGAAAAATTAAAGTTTCAATTGGTGGAACTTTTTTAGATTAATTTTTTTTCTAAATAGAACTAAATGCTAAAATTAAGATCTCGTTGTGAGAAGAAATATTTTAACAATGAGATCTTAATTTTAGCACATGAATATAAAAATGATCAGAAAAGTTGTTGCAGTTGCATATGCAATACTTGTGTCATATTAAAAATAATAAAAAATTATATTAATTTTAATATATATTTTATAAGATTTAGAGTATAAATAAAGAGGTTACAATACTTTAAAGAAAAACACTCTCTCCAATGTTACAAACAAGCTCAAACAAGGAGAATTGAAGGTCCAAAGAGAAGATTATGTGGGAAAAAGAAATGAAGAGTTTGGTAAACAAAGGTAATATCTCATTAACCTTTTATCTTCCTTCATGAATCCCATTTAATTAAATAAATCATATGTTAAACCCTTAAGCTTCTTCTACATGGGTAGAGAGATAGAATGAGGGGTTGGAAGGTGGTTCTAAGTCCATGAACGGACTTAGAAGCCAAAGGTTACTGTTTCACTGGAAAATAACCTTTTAGAGGTTTTTGTATTGATATGGGGTTTGGGATGATGAATCCTTGTTAGGGGCTCGTCTAAGTTGTTCCTAGTACTCTCGCGGAATTGAGGGAGTTGCCAGAGGTATCGTTGGAGTCCACCGAAAGTCACCAGAGGCCAACCGAAGAGGGTAGAACTTCTTTAAAAATAATTTAAGGTGAGTTGACGGCTTAATGTCTTATAACTCTTGGGTTAAGCATGAGATTCCTAAAAAATGCTATATGTGTTCATAATGATGTTTAAAAGAGTTTAATCGTGTGATTAGCCAATGTGATTAGGCCTATATGAATTTAACTATTGAAATATGCATGCAAATGGTTTAAAATGCATAAAAAACATATGTGATGTTTTGAATGGACAAAATTGCATATATTGATTACTTGTAACTTATTACACGGTGTTTGAGTTTCGTAGCAATCGGGATTGATTCAGGTGGTCAACAGAGCCTTAATCGAGGGCATGGGCGTTGACCGGCGCCAGTCAGGCCTAGAACCAGTGCCGGTTAATTTGGTCATTGCCACTTCGGTTCAGGAATAAAACAAGTGAACCGGCGCCGGTTAGGCCCTGCTTGGTTCTTAGCCTATAAGACATGGTTTAGTCTTTTATATTGATAATGATATAGACCTTATCTTCTAAGTATGACATGTGGTAGATCATAAGATATGATGGAGTATCCAAGGATGAGATAGTCCTCAAATCTCGTAATATAATTAGTAGAGTACCCAAGGACGGGATTGCCCTAAAAACTCGGAATATAATTGGTGGAGTACCCAAAGATGGTAATTGTCCTCAAAACTCAAAATTAATTGGTGGAGTACACAGGACCAAGATAAGTCCTCAAAGCTCATAGAATACGAGCTATTAACCGAGGAGCGGCGGTGTCCTTAAAGTACTTAATGGACTAGGAGGAGTACTATACACTTAGGACAGTTAGGAGGTGTTTACTTCGCTGCTAAGGTCACAGTTAGGTTAGTAAGACATGTGAAGTAAATGCAACATATGAAATTTTACACTATTCACATGTTCTACTTTGACTACGTTTTATTTATCAATGTATTAATATTATTTTATGAAAAAATATTGTTAAATTGGTCTCATTGTAAATTTTCAAAATCTATTTTTTTATTTTTTTATTAATACAAAATTATATATATTAATGGTCATAGTTGTATCTCAACAAATGCGAAATATTGATTGTTGCATTTATTTAATAACCGAGGAAGTACTTCGTACTGGTCTTTAAATTTGGGATATGATGTTTAACACACATCCTTTTAAAGTTTGAAAAATTTATGTTATATTCCTTTTTAAATCACCACCATGAGTCCATGAGTACTATTTAGAAGTTAAACACTATTAAGGGGTAAACTTTAAAATATAACCTATCCGTCCCAATAATCTGTAACCCTATCTTCATCCTTCCCTTAACACAGTTGAAGGTGATATTGATCGAAGGGAAAAGATGCCAGGCAAGACATTTTATTAAGCAGATCTTTTTTGTTTTCCTTGGTACTTGTTGTTTTTCTCCTAATCATTGATGAGCGTAGGACGCAATGCTCAAGAAGTTGTGGCTTTGCTGTTTTGGGGAGGGGAAATGATAAAGCGAGGAGATCTCGGCTCTGTGGACTATTCGGATCCCCCGAAAACGATGTGTTTCTTGAGCCGCTACAGTGCCTATGAGGATCTCGTGGCGAAGGTGCATTTGGCGATGAACACCGATGAAGAGGAAACGAGTTTGAGTCTGTTCGGGAAGTACCCCGAAAAGGTGGACGGAGAGAAATTGGTGTTCGTCTCTGTTCCGCTCACCGACAATCGATCGTGGCGGTGGTTTCTGCAGGCGATGGATCTATCACAGCCCGTTCACGTTTATGTCGTTGCCACCGGAGAAAGGAGAGCACCAGATACCGAGGACCGCAACCTCAGAGCGCGTGATCCATGGAGCGTGGTGGAGACGATAGCCACATCCGTGTTTGAGTCTTCAATGGGAGGACGGTAAGACGGCTGCTTACTACAACATCCAGCAGCATTGCACTCTCCAGCTTGTCCGCAGGGTATGCGGTTGTTAGTATATTTGCATATAGTTACCCTTTTTAGCACTAGCCATGGAATATGTAGTTCATTTTGTTTTTGGTTTTTGGTTTATCGATTTGAATCATTGCGTGTGGGATGGATCGGATGCTGCATTGGTTTTTTTTCACTCAAACTTTGGTTATTGATGTTCATGGGGTGGAATAGGATCCTCTCCCACACGGCGGAGTTTCGAGCACCAAACGAACGAAAGTTCTCCAAAGAAGCAAATCTCCCTTTTTTGAAACTCTATAACTCTTTGGAAACTCTCCAAATAAGCAAAGGGTCGTTACGTGCAATATAGCAAGAAGCAAACCCTCTGAATATCATTATAATTTGATGCTCTATAATCATCAGTACAATGAATCTACTCCTATGTGTGATTTACTAAAGAGGTCTTTTCGGCGTTTTGCTGCTCTTCTGTTTCTTTCATTAAAAAGCACAAGAATTTGATTAGAACATGCATGACTATACAAAGGATTTTTTATTTTTGTTGTTTATTTAAATTTCTATATATTTTTTCAACTTTGGAATAAAAACCAACACACACAAATGATAACAAATCTGGACTTATGAAATCAACAACAAGAAACATGAATAAACAATAAGACACAACATTTGCAAATAAATCAACGAAATGAAACACAAAGAAATAATGTGCAACAAAAAATAAAGATAAAAAAGACGGTTTATGATAATTAAAATTTGTAACTGTTTAAAAATATCAAATTAAAAATCATATTTTATATTTATTTATTTTTTATTTTTCTGCATATATTGTAATTTTTTTTATATTTCTGAAAATTTTGAACGTAGTATATTTTATAACTCGTACACTTTATTCATTTTTTAAATTTTCATGGTTGTCTTAGCCTTCAAAAAAATATTATCTGCTTTGCTTTTAGGAAATGATTTGTTTTTAAAAGTTTTTGTTTTTACAATTTTATATACTTATTTTAAGTTTTATTATGTTTTTACTTTTGTATTTATATTTTAACTTCTATCAATTTTCATTTTGTTTTTATATTTTGACAGTTTTGTAATTTTTACATGTGTATATTACCCAGTTTTTAAGAAATAAATTACAAAAAATATATATCTTATGTTTCCATACATTTTTAACTTTTCAAAACCTTTTTAAGTTTTATTATTTTATGTTTGTACGTTTAAAATTTTCTAAATGTTTTATTACATTTCTCTAGTTCATTTTTTAAAATTAATTTACGTTTTTATTTTGACAAATTTCTTTATATTTTTTCATTTTTTCAATTTACCTATTTTATGCTTTCATTTTTTATTCTTATCGTTATGAATTATTGTTTTTTGTGATTATTTTTGTGTTTTTGAACCTTTTATGATACTTTAATTTTGTTTTCCAGTTTTGATTTAACAAACAAAAAAAGGAGTACGTGACTCAAGCTTATTGGGCTTGTTTGGTAATCAGCGGTTAGCGATTAGCTGTTAGCGGGTTGAGTTAGCGGTTTTGACCGGCGGATTGATTTGGCGTTTTGACCGGCTGATAATTAAGTTAGCGGATTGTAAAAAAACTGTTTGGTTAATTAGCTGTTTGGACACAACTTTTTCTAGATAAAATTACATGTAAGGACATATATGTCTAACCTTTAATCATAAAAGACCAAATTAAAAAAAACGGCAAACATACAAGGATACCTCTCAAACACCGTCAACAAAAATATCTCTAAACACAAAAAATATCTCCAAACAGAAAGTAAAAATTCAGACGCCCTTTATTAATTAATCATAAAAGACCAAAACAAAAAAATAAAAAAAGACCAAAATAAGGCATCTGACCATATATCAAATCCACTCACTACTGCAGCAACATTTGTATTCAATACCTCTTTGGCTCTATGCAATGAATCTTATTCGTTTCTTATCCGAACAGGTCGAAAATCATATAACCTCTAACCTGTAATTTAACTTGTATTCGTTTTTTCTTGGGGTGGGAGAACAGGTACACGCAAATAATTTAACAATTATCACACATCTCCATTAATCTTCACCCGTTTCACTGGATCTTTCTCGAAGTGCATCAGCAATATTGCAGTCTCCCATTCTCCACCGACTAAGGGCTAGACGGACTTTTGTGCAGATTAGGCAAAACCGCCGAACTCAAACGCTGCTCTAACCAGCTTGTTGAGTTTTGGCGTTTTGGAACAAAAACGCTGCTCCCCTCAGCTATCTACCAAACGCCTGATTCAACGATTTGACCAAAACAAAAGTGCCAATATTGATTGAAACGCCAAAAACCGGCTGATCCGCCGTTTCCCAAACACGGCCATTATCTCTAAGGCCATTTCCGTTCCGCCGTACAATTTAACGAGTTGCGTCCATTGTTCGGTTATTCTACATGCTAACTACTTCATACGTCCCAAATTGTTATGCAAAGTCAACATTTTTTGGTTAACCAATAATAAAAATCAAACCTTCTTATTGATAATTAATTCAATTTTTAATAATTAAAATTTACATATTCATAAACTACATTGAAATCTCTTCAAAGTTGTAAACTTCAAATTGAAATATAATTAAAAATTGACATCCTAATTAAGCGAACAAAACGAATCTGTTGCGTGATGGATGGATTAGATGTTCGGGGGGTGGGGGGGGGGGTGGGGGGGGGGGGATAGGATCCTCTCCCATGCCGCAGAGTGTCTAGCACCAAATGAACGATAAGATGGAAATCAAGATGATGCGTAGAAATGCACTCTCAGAACTCAGGAACAGACACCGGATTGCCGGATCCCACAGAGGACCTCCACTCAGAGGTCTAAATAGATGTTTTCCGTTTGTACACGGGGTGTACAAGAAGCAAATCTTGTAATTTACCCCTTGTTTGAAAACCCAAGGTTGCTTTAGTACTAGGGATGTCAAAAAAACCGGACCCGCAGTGACCCGCCTTGGCCCGAGACATTTGGGGCGGGTCCGGCCCGCCACGTCTTCCAAATAGGCGGGTCTGCCCCGCCCCGCCTATACAATGGGGCGGGTCCGGGTATTAGTATTGACCCGTGCCGCCCCGCCCCTACCTGCTCAATACATAAGCATACATATTTTTTCTTAAATTATACTATCGTACTACAAATATACTTCAACATACATATGTGTGTATACAGTAAATCATAATTTTTTTGATCTTATAATATATTATAATACATTTATTAGAATGAGATGAACGCCGTATTATCAATGTCTTCTTTATATATAGCATTTTAATACATATGTTCAATTATTAGTATAATTAAATAGATTAACTATTCAAATCTGAGTAATTTTTCCTTACTTTTTGAAATTTTTAGGGTATCATGAATTTATTTAATATATTGATTTTTAATTATTATTTAGAGATAAACTTTATCTAGATTCAATTGGTAACAATTTCCCACAAATAAAAATACATACTAGCTAATTAGGTTACGGCGGGGCGGGTCATGGGTCAACAAGTTTGGACCCGTGCAGGTCACGGGGCGGGGCGGACCCGCCCCGCCAAGTCACGGGGCGGGTCTGGGTCTTGCAGTACCCGCCCTGCCCCGACCTATTGCCATGCTTATTTAGTACAATGAATGTACTCCTATGACATTACTAGGTCGCCATTTGGAGGACATTAAATGGGCTTATAAGCCTGAATTTTGAAAAAAAAAATGCCAAACCCAGAGAATTAGCTTCATTGACTGATAATTATTATAAGTAGAAAAAACAAGTATATGCCTACTTTTTGAGTTGAAATGCATTATTTTACTGTTGGCTGGCTAATCAGAAGACCATCTTAACCCTCTTTCTACAAAATTATAAGCATGAATCAAGGTAAGGATATTGTTCGTATTAAAAATTTGTTGGTGGTACATCATAGCTTGATAAACATGTACTATGTGCTTGAGTTAATGTAATCTATCTTCTACTTTGCTTCTCGATAAACGTTTATCCATCTATCTACCGTCCTCGTTAGTAAAGCCTGGCTCAATTCCGCAGCTTTCCAGTTCCCACTCATTTCACCATACCTGTTAGGTTAGCCGCTGAGAATCGACAAACTCGCGGAAGATTATCGCCCCCTCTACTCACCTCCTTCTTCCCTTTGATCTTCTTATGGTTAAGGTAAAGGTATTATCTTCAATTTTTTAAAGATAAAGATTATTAGACTGATAACCGGTTATGACTTATAACCTAGGAATTTCATCCCCAGGCCTACATCCTGTCCATCACGGGTCTGGTAATTTTAATATAATTACTACGACTGTTAAGTATCACTTTCATACATTTTAGAGCTGATCAAGTTTAGATACATGTGCAGTTTATACTAAACCTTGACATTCAATACCAAAAGAAGAACACCCTTTTTGAATGTCTTTTTTCTGCTACAATTTTATTCTATTGAATCTGTTATGCCTTTTGGTTGTGATTGTAAGCATCACCCAAGAATATTATAGATTGCTTTGATGTTTATCTCTATATTACCCTCTTATTAGTCAACTACCATTGAGTTTGTATCACCTCTTTTTTTTACCCTAACCACTTGGAGATTTACTGCATTTTCACATGGTTTTGTAATAACTATGTTTTACTTGGAAATGAGAATGTATTTTTTTAGAGACAAGAAAAGAGAATGATCAAGAAGCTAATTTGGGGCATGAGGGACTAAAAGTTTCAACTTTATGGATAGGCTTCAGATTTGAGATTAAATAAGATAAATAGCATCCTGTCTTAAAGCTGTTAAAATCCCTGTCTTCCATCCTAGATGTTCTTACAGAGTTAGGCCACCTGCCAAATAGAGGATCCATAAACAATATAATATGTGAAAAGATAGAACCTGCAGTAAAGCACTCTTAATGGACTGACAGAAGTTTAAAACGAGCATCCCCGCCTTTGTAAATATCATAACGCAAATAAAATTACCATGAGAAGTATATGTGCTTCTGTTTATAACAAGACTAAATCTCAAGATACTCTTCACACTATAGGTCCATTATATTGTTCATTAGAATAGGACTAAACATCGAGAAACTCTTCATAAGATATAGGCAATCATACTGAGTTTATAGAAAATATGATAGTTGAGTGTATTCTTGTTTAACTGTGTTTATTAACTATGTTTATTTGACTTTTCTGTACTTATTATCATGGGGACTTTGCAGCACCACCTAACTAAACCAATTGCATCTGTTATCTAAGAATAAAGGAAAATAGAGAAAATAACTAAATTTAGTATCACCTTGTTGTACTGGTGTTTTTGGTAGTTTCAATCTTAGTATTGCTTCTACTGTACTACATCTTAGGGAGATTTTAAAGCAAAAAAAAACATTATGAGCTGCATTTGATCTTGAATTAAAATAAAGCTTGCTCTTAAGTTTTTA